GAAATCTGCTAATGGAAATAAAGCTTTGGGGTCTGACGGGTTTAACATGAAATTTGTCCAAGAATGTTGGCACTTGATCAAAGAGGATGTGATGTGTATGTTTAATGAATTACATAAATTCGGAAGGTTTGTAAAATCTCTTAATTCCACTTTCTTGGCCCTCATCCCAAAAAAAAGAGGCGCTAATAAATTCAAGGATTTCCTGCCGATCAGCTTGGTGGGCTGTATGTATAAATTAATTGCTTAAGTTTTTGCAAAGAGACTCTCTAGAGTGCTTGGGGAGGTGATAGGGGATTGTGAACATTTTTTTTGTTGAACGAAGGCAGATTCTGGAGGCTGTCATGTCTGTTAATAAGGTAGTGGATGATTTATATGTCAACAAAATTGATGGGTTGGTTTGTAAACTCGACATGAAAAAAACATATGACCATGTAAGCCGGAATTTTATTGACTACATGTTGGATAGGATGGGATTCGACACAAAATGGACGAGATGGATGAAATCTTGTATTATCACTACTTTTGCGGTATTGGTAAAAGGTGGGCCATCTGAATTTTTTACTGCTTCCCGTGGGATTAGACAGAGTGATCCTCTCTCCCCTCTACTCTTCATCATTATGATGGCGGCTCTGAATGGGTTATTGAGTAAAGCCAAGGATATGAATTTATTGAAAGGTGTCAAGATTTGGAAAAGGTGAAACGCGATTGAAGTCTCTCATCTTTTCTTCGCTGATGATATAATCATTTTTTGTCAACCAGATATCAAGAATCTATTTTACCTTCGCTCTATCCTTCATTGATTTCAGGCTGCATCGGGATTGAAAATAAACCTCTTAAAATCAAAGCTTGCTAGAACAAAGAGTAATGGGGATGGCAACGAATATGCGAAGGTTTTGGGGTGCTAGGCAGTGGTGTTTCTTATGAAATATTTGGGGGTTCCTTTGGTGGCCAAATTTAAAGATAAGTGTACATGGGAACCGGTTATTGAAATGTTTGAAAATAGACTCGCGAGTTGGAAAAAGGAATTTCCTATCAAAAGGAGGCTGCTTAACTCTAATCAAAAGCACTATGTCCAACCTCCCTATTTACTACCTTTCGACACTCACAATTCCTAAAGAAATTGCAAGGAAATTAGAAGCTATTCAATGTAGATTTCTATGGGGCGATGAAGATGGAATAAGAAAGTACCATTTGGTTAATTGGGAGGAGATTCAAAAACCGATTCATAGTGGTGGTCTTGGGATAAGGTCTCTTGTCAACATGAATTTGACACTCAAACGAAAATGTTTATGGAAGTTTTTGAATGAAGATTACAAGCTGTGGAGAAAAATTGTGCTTGTCCACTGGGGTGATATGAATGCAGTATGTTATGGGGCCAACTCTAGGTCTGATGGACCTGGCTTGTGGAAGAATATAATGAAACAATGGCCGAGGTTCTATAGTTGTATTAAATAGAGCTTGGGAAAAGGGAATAAAATTAGTTTCTGGTGTGACAAATGGGTTGGTGATGACAGTTTGCAGAACAGGTTTCCCAAAATTTTTGAGATTGCCCATTCAAAATCGATGTTGGTGGCTGATGCATATTGGATTTGTAATGATTGTATCATATGGTCTGTTAGAGTGAATTGACACTTAGATGATTGAGAAATTTAAGAGTTTGAAGAACTTTTGGCACTTTTGGAGAAGTAGAATGTGAAAGAGGGCTCGGATCTGGTCTCCTGAAAGTTAGAAAAAAGAGAATTTTTTCTGTCCATTCATACTACATATGCTATTTGGTGGGGGATGGGG